ATATCATCATTGTTCATATGTAGCATTTTTTGTAATATTTGCTTATTGCAAAATTAAAACTTATTCCAAAAATTAAACTCCTGTGGCATTGTAAAGGCCAATAAATTTATACCACGTGTGTTAAAGTTTACAGTGTCACAAGATTCTTTCTTAAGTGTGAAAAGAACATGAACTTCCAAAGTCTATATGAACACAAATATTTACCACAACATGTTTAAAAAGTTGTGTTGTAATTAAAAGGTTTCCACTAGAAACATTTCCATTAATAGGCTTGACATTTACAACAAACATCAATCAAATCAGAACTCTGACATTGATAAATTTATCAGTCTTTGTCCAATTCATCATTGCTTTTTCTTCTTTGTCTGCTCATCAGGGTTTAGTTTGCGTTTCTTAAATGAGCTGGGTTCATCTTTTTCACCATCTTCAAATAAGAGACAGTGTGTGTAAGTTAAAGATTTCAAAAGCCGCATGTGAAAAAACGGTCAGTTGTATCAACTTTTCTACATGGACATGGATCTATTCATGCAGCCTTATTGGCATTAATACAAAGGCAGTATGAAGTTGCCATTTCCTGGATTTTTTTCCCCAATTACTGAATCTGGACTATAGCCTTGGAATTTTCTAATAATCAACCATCCAAATACTAATCAGGTCCAATCCTGCTTAGCCTTTTCATCACTGAATTGCTGTTATGGTTAAGAAGTTACAGGAAGGGAGATTAAGGGAAACTCCCTTAACCATAAAACCATAAAAGCAATCCAATGATGAATTCAATGACTTAGGGCTTTCCATCACCAGTGATGTTTGAAAAAAGGCTAAACAAACTCTCTTGTGGATGCTCTAGCTCAGCCCTCTATAACCTGGCTTAAAACCTGGTGCTTTCCAGATGTATTAGACCAGTGTTTCTCAAACTTGGCAACTTTAAGACAGCTGGCTGGGGAATTCTGGGAGTTGAGGTCCACATGTCTTACAGTTGCCAAGTTTGAGAAACACTGTGTTAGACTTTAACCACAGCCAGGGGCTGAGAGTGGGGAACACTATTCTAGAAACCCAGCACTGAGGAGGCATTAGCCACTGAGCCTCCTCCTTCTCTATGAATTTTGTTTAATTTGGTCTTTAAATTCTGTTCCTGTTTATTAAAGGAATTGTTCAATTTCAAATCATTAGTCAACTTTAGACACAGGTAGATTAGACATTAAGCCAGCATGACTCTGTGGCCAGCAATATTATTAGCTGTTAGTAAAAATTCCCCAGAAATACAGGAATTTAATGTAAGTGTGGATGTATAAAGTTGAATGTATTAATTATCCTAATCAAAACATGCAGCCTTGGTAAGACTATGCACTTTATATTCATCTACATTTCACAGGAAACAACGAAAAGCTGCTCTCAAGTCTAGGATTAAGTTGTCTTTAATATTACTAATATTATGACTGGATTCAAAACTCCTCTGCATAATTCATGTAAGAAATGCCAATCTTCAAACAGAGAAATATTTTCCCATTATAGCACTCATATACAAAAAAAGCCAACATGGTTTCTTTTGAATGAAATTGAACACTATTACCTGATTCAACGTGTTCTTGCTCTTCTTCTGTATGTACACTGAAATGTACATTGTTTACATGCCTTGGAGCATCATCACCATTATCTTCGTAGATATTTGACCATTTGATTGCCATATCACGCTCAGGAGGAGGCGGAGGCTTTTTTTCCTTGACAATGTAAGTCTCAGGGGGAGGCACAGCATTTGTGGTCCATGCCTTGAATTCCTTAGGAGGCTGTTGAAAGAAATATGAAAAGACCAGTACTGGGAATACTATATTTGAAAGGCCTGGCTATAACAGATAGAAATTCATCTTATATCTGAAAATCTAGCCAAGTTGTAATAAACATTTAGCATGAATGCTATGGCCATTTAGACATACAAATAGCTTAACCAAACTCCTCGCTGTAAGAAAAGGTAAAAGTGAAAACAATAAGAAATATTAATGTCAAGAAAATAATAAATTCTGATCATGCAGCAGCTGATTAAGGCCAGCAGAATGAAAAGCTGATGGTGCCAAGCTTCCTTTCCTAGAAGCCTGGACCTGCCACATGCAGTGTGGTTTGTAGCTCCTGTGTTGACCACCTTTCTTCCTGGGGGTACCTCACTTGACATCCACCTCCTATCCCTAGTGTCTGAGAGAGAGATGGCACAAAGAACACAAAAATGTGCTACTTTTCTACCAATTTAAAGTGTCAACATGCAAAAAAAAAAAAGAACTAATTTCACTAGCGCCACATTCTCATTATGTTGCATGGAGGTTGGTAACTAAAGTATATTAGGCCTTCCTGACCCCTTTGAGTGATAAATCACTCTCAAAAGAGATAAGTAAAATCAAGCTTGATTTTAAAAAAAGAAAAGATAAAAATTAAAAAAACCCTTTTTTAACTTTAAATATTAACATGCAAACAGGCAATATAGAAGTAGATAAATTGCAATTTTTAAAATTAAATTGCTGACAATTTAATTAAAAAAAAAGAAAAAATACAATGCCCTGGACCAGCTCATTTATCCTTCATGAAGTTTCAGACTGTTCATCGACTCCCACATGTTTACTATATGAAAATAATTTAATAAATACTACTTTAAGTAATAGTACTACAAATAACAATAACAACAACAATAACAACCCTTAGGGGTTGATATTGACCACTTTGGGGAACCCTGCTTTGGACAAAACACATGATAGTGTTGGCAAGCTAAAAATAGAGAGTTCTCTCTCCAAGCAGAGAGTTCAATATCTCACCTGTCCCAAGAAGGTTCTAAAGAAAATATCAGAGACCTTTTATGTCTCCAACAAAGGGGGGGGTGGGGGAGGTGAGGTAACCTGACTCTATATATGATCAAGAGCCATGTTTCACTATGAATGTGTATTGTGATTGAGCCTGCACCTATAATCTGGCAAGCAGAGAATGTTCACTACACATCCTATATACGAACAGCATGTTTCACTTCCAGAATACAAATTTCATTAGCAAAAGATTATGGAAGATACCTTGTTCTTCAATTACACACACACACACACAGAGCCATAACCCTACAGCATTGTGTTTAGCAGGCTTAATAAAAACATATTAAGCAGATCTTAGAAACTTAAAGTCTGTCTACTCTTGGCCCATATTCCACACAAGGTAATATTATTTGAATGGAAAAATCATTCCAAATTGTTTAACATTTTGAGCCATTTAAAAATTGAGTACCACAGGGGCCATTTTTTTTTTTTTTTAACATGGGCTGGGCCTTCAAAAGAGAGCCAGTTTGGTCTAGTGGTTAAGGCACCAGGCTAGAAACCGGGAGACTGAGTTCTAGTCCTGCCTTAGGCACAAAGCCAGCTGGGTGACCTTGGGCCAGTCACTCTCCCTCAGCCCTCGGAAGGAGGCCAGGGCAAACCACTTCCAAAAACGTTGCCAAGAAAACTGTAGGGACTTGTCCAGGCAGTTGCCAGGAGTCAAGACTGACTTGAAGGCACACACACACACACACACAAAATCCTTCAAAACCGAGGCATGCTAAAATCAAACATTGAACCATCACTGCAATGTTGAAGGGAGAGAGAGAGAGAAATCCATAACATAAATGGATTGAAAAGGCTAGACAGCCTTTCAGGTATTGCAGCTCCTACCATACCCCATATAACCCAGAAAAGAAGGCTGTTCGGTGCAGAGGGCAGAGACAGAAGTTAAGTCTGAGCAAATATACACAATGGGCGTAAAATACACCACTGTGTGTTTCATTTATGCACTCATCGAAGGTGTACGAAAACCCATCCCATATTATATGGATTAGCCTAGCCCATTAAGCCAAATCGAAGCCTTTGGCGTTTCTGCTACAATTGACTAGAACGGCCACCCCTCTGAATCCTACGGCTTCCTAACCACGGAGGAGCTACACGCCTTCCCTGCCCGGAGAAGTACGCCCAGAGCAATAGAAGAACCTTCGCTAACCTCTTCGGGAGCTCGCACGACCCGACTCTCCCAATCGATCTCCTTATGCAGCGGGTTATAGAGGAAAGCTGGTCGATTGACGCTGCGGAAGAGCTCCTCGGGCCCAGGCAAGCGCGATTTCGCCTCGGGGATGCCGTTCTGGGGCTGCTGTGAAGACGCCTTGGCCTCTCGACCCGAGCCTTCCTCGTCCTCAGCATCCGAGCCGGCACTCGAGCTGTTGTCGCTGCCGTACGCCGCAAAGAAACCTAGCGGGTCCTTCCCCTCCGCTGCTGCCATGGCAGGGACTCGTGCAACCGAAACACCCGTCCTCGGGAACCGGCGCACGCGAAGAGGAAAGTTCCGCGCTAGTGGCTTATGCGGAAAGTCTCTCTGAGTCTTTTCAGCTTGGACTAGGCGCTGTAGGGGGGTAGCCCGGCCGGATTCGTTCCTCGGCTCAGAAGAATTCCCATCTTCTCAGCAATGGGTTAGCGCGGGCTTAGTTTTATTAAACTTTGAGGTGCAGTAGCTCTTTCTAATCCATTTCTATTTTAATTCTAAAGAAAGATAATGAGCAACATTTCATCCCCTTTCCTCAAGCCTCGGTTCTGATAATTCGGAACGTGAGTTTACCAATTCTAAACGCAATGCGTTAAAACAGGGCTGCCTGTATATAGGCGTCAAAAATCCGGACAGTTATAAATGGAAGCAAAGAATTAAAGTTCTCCGTCATTCCTTGTGGTCGTCTGTATTTTTGCAATCCAGATTACAGCCCTAATTAAAAGGTATGCAGCCAGTTACATTTTTCTATACGTATCTGTAAACAGTGGAATTAAAAGTTCTTGCTATATAGCCTTTCGTTTGAATAGAGCTGGAGAAGTCCCCTTCACGCCCTTACTTCTTTACAATATTTACCAGTGCGATCCTTCCGTGCATATTTACTCAGAAGTTGTGTTGGGATTAAAGTAGGAAGTGCCTAAACTTTACCTTGCGTGGTTGTTACGATAAAATACAGAAAATACAGAAATATACAGTATTCGATCTCCATAACCTGATCGGAAGGCAGAATATAAGTGTAATACTTTCAAGACTATCTATAGAATTACAGCATAATATTGTTTTGATCAATCTTACGGTAAAGCTGATGAACAAATACAAAGGAATGTGGAAGCAGCAGGGGATGGTAAATAAATAATCCATTGTTGCGGAAGATGAAATTGGACAGCAAGCAATAAGAAAAGAAAGCATATCCACACATTTAGGATAAGTCTGTGGGGCTGAATGTATTGCACTATGCAGAACAAGCAAGGAATAATCATTTGCCATTTTATGTGGGTACAGCAATATCAAGGGGAACTTCAGAAACTTCCAGGAAAGGTATAATTCTAGAACAAACTATTTTTATTTTGTTGCTTGCTTGCCTGCCTGCTTAAGTGCCATCAAGTCAGTGCCAACTCTTGGTGACCGCAGCTTCACACAGTGACAAAGTCATAGCCAATGAGGTTTTTTCTGAGCACAACTATTACTAATTAAATTTTTCCCCCAATACCTTGCCTTTGCAACCCCATAGGTTGATTTTCTCTAGAACGATCTGTCCCCAACCTGGTCCTCCAGATCTTCCAACAGGACACCCATTGCTGCTGTAATTGAATTCATCCACCTTGCTGCTGGTCATCCTCATCTCTTTCCTTCCATCTTTCCCAGCATGTTAGACTTCTCTAGAGCACTAGGTATTTGCATAATGTGTCCAAAATATGGTAATTTGACCCTGATCATTTGTTTCATACAGAACAAGTGGAATAAGTCAGAAACACATAGAATTGAGTAAGGCATATATGCATAAACCAGTTTAAAAAAAGTGATAAGCAATAAGGCAGTAGCTGATCTTAGAAAACTACCATCACAGTCTCCTAAATGATAGCTGACCAGTGCAGGCTGGGATGAGTTTAAGTCCATTGACAGAACCTTGTTATCTATGTAGACTTTTCTATGGAAAATATCTGCTAGTAAAAATTAATGAACTTGGTCCCCTGAACCTAGCAAGGAATGGGTGTGGGAATGTAGATTGCCAGTCCTGATATAGTGGGCAGCGCAATAGGCCATGGACTATTGTTTTGATGGTTGATTCTGGGCATATGCAGTGATGATCTATTGACCCATCCCCTCAGCAGGTTCAAGAGTAGAACATGGAGCCTAGTTAATATAAACACCTTTTGAGAGGGAAAGTATCTTTAAGAGAGTTTAGAATAAGGGAGTGTCCTATAAATTATAGCCATAGTCTAGACATATGGTAACATTTTTTTTAATCCATTCCTTTTACAGTACTTCCTTTATCAGTATGCCTTTTTCTTATTTAGTTTTACCATTTCATTTTAGACCTGTTCATTTTCTCCAACTGCCCCCTCCTGCCAGTTTGGCTTTGCTGAAAAGGACTGCAGGCTGCTCAAAGTCACGTAACAAAAAGGAAAAAAAAATGCAGCAGCATTTATTATGCAAGGTTTATGAACTGGCTGTTATCTCATAGCCCCTGTTCTGTTCACTACCTCTTGGTCATCATATAATAATAGATGCAAACTTTGACACCTAATTTTCTATTTTTTCCTAATATTATTTTCTATCAGAAACTTCAGTACATTGATAAACTGGGAGGTGTTTCCCACACCATTTCCTACTACAGAAAGTTTTATTAACAATGACTACTAGTTAGAACAAATCAGGGGCAAAATTTCGTATTGACATCTATTTCACAATACATTTAGTCAACAACGTATTTGTACCACTGGCATTTGTTATTAACACTCTACCTTATCAGTGACTTCAATTCTTAGATACTGCATCTTCATAGATATTTGTGAATATGCAAAGCCATTTCTAAAATGAAAAGAGATATCAGAAAATAATAATTATGGGAGCCATTAAATGGAATCAAGGCATCCATTTTTTGTTTTTCCTAAGGGGAGGGAGATTTTCTTGCTTAGGCACCAAAATATTCCTTTTTTATTGAATGATATCACATATCACACAGTTGAGCATCCTGCTTCCAACTAATAGTCAATAAGATATTTTTCAAGAAGCCTGTAACTGTTACAGAAGGCAATTCAATTTTGGAGGGTGCCAGCATATGAGTACACTGCATCTGACATAGAATTTAATTGTAATGAGCCAGATAGAGGTTTCCTAGGCTGCAGATCATTGAGTTTCAAATTACAAGGTACAACCTATAACACAGGACCTGTTCTGAATATATCTGTAAAGTATGGATTCTTGAGAAAACATTTGCTTCCCCTAATAGCCTAAGTACACAACTATCAGTGAAGAGAAGCCAAGATTAGGACATGAAATACACTGAGAAAACTATTTTTAAAAAAATCACTTTATTATACAAACAAATTGGTTACATTTATTATACAAATGCTTCATAGACTGCCTATGGGAAATATTTGTAAAGCATTAAACAGAAAGCACATACCTCTAAATATTTTTCAGTTCAATATTGCTTTATACAAAAGCACACATTTTTAAAAAGTATGACTTAAGAATACAATAATTTCCAAACATATTATTTATTAGAGCAGTATTTGTTATTTTTCTCTATTGTAGTACACATCATAATCAAAATTGGCCTATGTAGCTGTATTACCTATAGTAATTCACACAGGTTTTGGCATATATGAAATGAAGCACAATAGAGAGAAAAACCCGATTTAATTTCAACACTAAGGAAGCTATAAAACTTTTAAAAGAAAATATGAGAGTAATAGGGATCAGTCCATTAATATGCAAATACAGTGTTTTTTTTTATAAATTTGGCAACATCTGCAGTTGGTAGCCAAACAAGGAAATTCATGCTCCATAAAACAACATCATGGAAGTTTGAGCTGAGGTAGCATTTGCATCAAAAAGCTGTTAACAGAAATGGTCAGATTATCAGGAGACCCAAAATATGATTAGATTAGATTGAGGCTCAAGACAGATGTATTCTGAAGCAGGGAACCAGTGCATTGTATAACATAACCTAGTACCAACTTGAGTTCATATAAACTCTTCTTAAAATACTGGACTGTAATCTTATGGATGTCTATATGGGAACAAGTTCTACTGAACTCAGACATATTTCTGAATAACACGTGAAACACAAAGCTATCTGTTTATTTAAACTAGGTAACTGGCTGCAATTTTATCCAAGATATTGTAAAAGAACAAAGTTATTTATAAACTTTTGTTATCTCAGAAGCCTTACTGAAACTCATTTTGCTTTTGGCTAAGTAAAATTTGAATTTAATCTAACGTATTGTTTTCTAATGTTCAAGAAACAAAAATGGCAAAAGCTAAAGATGAAGAAAAAAAACCACTTTTATGCTACCCAAAAAATAAATATGCCTTTTAAATGCCCAGAAAACTAATCTTTCCTTTACAGTGTTGCATCTTGATGAAGCCATGAGAAAAACTTTTGAAATATGAGATGATCTTACACTCCCTGAGATGGCATAGTAGAAAATATGTGTCCAATACAACATTGTTTCACCTTGAGAAATAAGCACTGAAACTGAGGATTTTTGTTTTAGAAATATACTCAATGTTGTAAAGTGCAAACTTAAATATATCCACTCAGAAATAAGCTCCACTGAGCTCAACCAAACTTACTGTCAAGTAAGCATGCTACAGGTATTTTAAGCTCCAATTCTTAAGGAACTGTATACATTTAATGCCTAATATATACTTAATTTAAAAGAGACTTATCGCTATAATTTTTAAAAAGTTAACTTGGAGAATCAATCATTCAGAACAAAAGAAGTCACCTACAGGTAGTCATTGCTTAATGATGGTGATTGGGACCAGAATTTCCATCGCTAAGTGAAGAGATCATAAAGTACGACGTCATGTGACCACGCTTAGCTACAGCAATTCCGGTAAAATTCCTGGTTACCATTGTTAAGTAAGGACCACACGAGTCATTAAGTGAGGATCTCATGTGATTGTGACTTCCAACTTCCTGCTGGCTTCCCCACTGACTTTGCTTGGGGGAAGCAGGCAGGGAAGGTTGCAAATCGCAATCACAAGACTGCGGGACACCGCGATGGTCGGAAATCCAGTCCAGTTGCTGAGTGCCTGGATTGCGATCATGTGACCACTGGGGTGCTGCAATGGCTGGAACTTCGAGGACCAGTTGTAAGTACCACTTGTTCAGTGCGGCTGCTGTACAAGCGATCATTAAACGAGGACCACCTGTATAAGACGGGACTGATCAATCTTCAAAGATATAGTCATAATACTTTAATTCAGAAGGTATTTTTCCCTCTTTACTGAGGTCTTCATTACTTCCTGATTATACTGTTCAAGCAGAATGCAACATTTTCCAGATATTAACCAGAATTGCTCAGTTGAAGCTTTATTCCAATACGACAACTGTGAGAGATTATAACCCCAAACACAGTACATTTTTACAAAAATGTATAAATACTAAATCTTTTTAATTATTCATTTTCCTATATTATTTTTCAATAGAGCAAGAATTGTTTTAAATGCCTCTATTCACTTACCTGTAAGTCCCATTGAAATCAGTGGGGCTTACTTCTGAATACACAAGTACAGGATTATAATTTGCACAACTCAATACAAGCAGCTTGATGATTAGTTAAATATGAACATTTACGGAAAACACCTACTTTCAGTTTTAAAAAGTAATACAATCATGTACAGTAAGCAATTTTTAAGATGAATTACTCTGTTCTCTTAGTGAACTGACTGTTTAGAAACATTTTTTTAAGGCAACATCCAGCATAATATTACCCTTTTAAAATTAATCAAGAAAGGCAACCACTATGGAAGAAGTGAGCGGGATCGTAATGGTAGAAAGGGATTTTCACTAGAAGTAGATATTTCCTCTTGTTCATTCTGCAATTCTGTTGGAATAGGAGGTGCTCCAGGATCTCCAGGTCCTGGAAGAGTAGAGAAAACTGAATTTTCCATATTTCCAACCTCTGTAATAGGGAAATTCATTGAACAAAGAGAAGAGGCAGATGCAAAAGCAGCTGTACTGTATTCTTCTGAATGTAGGTAGGTGTTTTCTCTGTCTCTTTGTTTTTCAAACAGATTAGATTCATTTGACTGTGATCTAGAGAGATTGTTTGGTTGCTCACATACTGAAGCCATGCAGTTGTTACAACTTGTTCCTGTAAAAAAGATATTAGATTACTTACAGATATGGTATGTGTAAAAGGTATATTAACTATTGCTAACTATTGCCATAACTTGGATTATTTTGCCACAATTTTATCTGTTCAACTTTATTCTTTTTTGTGAAATCTTAGATTTATATAGAACTTTTATTCCAAAATTCAACTTAAGAAATACCCTGTATTGTTGTTTCTTGAAGAAAGAAGACGGTTTGGAAAGAAAATGTCTAGAAACCCTAGCTGTGATCCAGACTGTCTATACAGCCCTATGGATCAGGCCAAGAAGCTATTTATTTATAAAACACTTCTTTGCCACCTAGAGGTTATTAATATGAAATCTTAATCTTGTCCAAGTAGCAAATGGGCAACCAATGCAGCTCTTTCAACTATAGTGTTATATGGCAGCAGCATGGTATACCACACAACAGTTCTGGATGATGCATAAGAGAAGCGCCACATACAGCATTAATCAAAACAGGAAGTTACCAATGCACAGGGTACAAAAACTAAGCTATTCTTGTCCATGAACAGCAGTAGCTGACATACTAACCAAAGCTAGTAATGAGCTCTGTGTCCCTGGCATCTTAGAGACAATTATGATCTTATAAACTCCCTTAAACTTTTTATCTGCTGAACAGAGAGCAATCCCCCCTATGTCAGGAAAATGATATTTTCAGGGACTTGGAACTACCCACCCATGAAACTTCTATTGACAAAATTCAGATCTATCGCTCCTATCTAGCCTATTACCTCCAGCTACAGACATCATCGCTATGTCTTTACAGCTTCTTTTATAGAAAACTGTACTGCACATCATCAACAAAGTGGTGATACCATGCTCCAAATCTCCTGGTGACTGCCCCAACTGACTTCTTAAGACTGGAGAGAAAACGGTTCCTTCTGATATTTCTGGGCACAACTGCCAGAAAGCTAAAAGTTAACCCAATGCTTCTTGTGACTGACTTTGAATGAACCAATACAATACAATGTACAACACTATCCCCAACATGCAGAGAAAATCTAAAGAGATGCAATAGTCAATTGTATTGAAAGCTTCCAAAACATCAAGCAAGCAAATAGGATTGCACTCTCCTAATACTATATTGTCTGTTAGGGAAATCACAGTCAAAATCAGATTTGAACTCATGCTGAAATAGATGTAGATAACCAGTTCCCTCTAAGAGTGTCTGAAACTCGACTGCTACCATCCTTTTAATATTTTCTCCCCAAAAATGGTATAAGCAACTAAGAAATTCTTACTCAATTTTCTGGATCCAGAGCAGTTTTTTTCAAGAGGGGCTCTATGACTATCCCTTTAAAGACACTAAGTATTACCCATTATTCAATGACACATTTATCATAATCTAGACCTATGCAATCTATAGTCCCCAATTAATTACAATTATCCATTAAGGAGAGGGACTGAAAGGACAGATGGTCAATCTTACAATCTTATACCTAAAATCTGATTTCTGAAATCTACCCACTAAGTCACCATGGATACAAATACTTTTATCTTTGAAGAGCTCAGCAGACTTCTTATAACTCTCTTATATATATCATCCCTGAATGTTAGTAACCTTTGAACCACTCAAACTAAAGCTACAGGATAAGCTACTAGTAAATGCAATAGAGGCAACAAAATAAGACTTCTGATTTTGCTACCCTATTGTCATACAATAGGCATAACAACATATGACAAGTGCTCATTTGTCTAGCCTAGTTCAACATCCTCAGTGTCCCTGAGAATCAGAATGAAATATTCTATAAGGTTGGAAGACATATAGAAATTATCATGATACATCATACCACTCCAATACACAATAAAGGACTCAAGGGAATTAAGCTAGGTTGTCAACCAAAACCTGATTTAAAAAAAATCATTGTGTGGCTCTTATGCTTGAATATATGTCATTATTTCTAAATTTTTGTGCCTTCAATGACACAAAGGAAGGCAGATTATTTTGACATACCTTGTGTATCTCTTACAGAATTCATAGGAACATACAGGTAGTCCTCAATGTCCAATCACAATAGGGACCGGAATTTAGGTTGCTAAGCGATTTGGTCATTAAGTTGATGAGACCTTTTTTACGACAGTTGTTAAGCAAATCACTGTGGTCACTAAGTGAGTCCAGCTTCCCCAATGGATGTTTTTTGCCGGAATTCTCTTAACGGCCAAATGGTTCACTTAACGATTGTCGTAAAAAGGTCACAAATTGCAATCAAGTGACCGCAGGGGTCATAAAGCACTTTCCCCAAGGCTGTCATAACTCCAGACTGTCATCAAATGAACGGTCACTAAGTGAGGACTACCTGTACTTAAAAGTAAATATGCATAAGAGCAGGTTATGTAGCTATTTTTATAAGCCCTTTTGTAATACACTAGCACACATAATATTCAGTTATTAAACAGTACCTTTAAGGCTTTCAAGTTTTTCATTTTTTGCTTTCAAGACAGCATCAGTTATTTTTTCTAACAGGAAGTTTTGTGTTTTTTCACATTTGATAGATTCTATCAGTGCATCTAGTCCTTTTGGATGTTCTGCTAAATAATCCAGCAGTTTCCCAGCCTTCTTCCTACTTGACGTTCGACAAGAGATTTCTTCAGTGTCCTCTCTACTCAGTATTTTCTTTGAACGTAGATAGTCAAAATGTCTTTCTGCAATTATTTTGTCACACAGATACCGACGTAATCGTTCTAAAACCTAGCATAAAAATAAGACCATGTTAATAAAAGTTTAACTTTATTAATATATAAATTATTCTATGTGCTACTATGAAGGAGCAATGAATCATAAATAATACCTGACAAATAAGTTTAAGTTAGAATTTTCAGTACTGTACGTTATCAAGAACAAGGAGTAAGTCAAGTCTTGGACTCAACTCCTGTTCATGAGATCATCTTTTTCATGGTACTGATCTAAGGATTACTGAATTAGCAATCAAATATCATGAAGTACTAAGCATTAGTTAGAAGTATTTAATAATAAAAAGGAATGGAAGTTCACAATCTTTGGTAAAAGACTTTATATTAAACTTTACTATTGTCATTATAGTGATCTATCGCTTCAGTTATAGGTGAAGGAGGAAGAGAAAATGAAGCAATAACAACTGCAATGCATAAGATATTAATTTATTAAACATGGAAAAGGGAGAGGATATTCAACTGGATGGCTGTGTGAGGGAATGGTGTTATGAAGGCCACGCTTAGGGAGGTAAGCATTTCCTTAGCCCTCAACAGGAGCGTGGGAAGTTTAAGAAGATGAGACTGGAACCACGCTAAGGAATTCACGGTGTTGTGGCTTGCTGGCTTGGGAACGTAGGTTCAGTCTGAGAGATTTCTGTCTTGAGGTGGAAGCTAATAAACGCAACAGAACTGTATTGCACTGTCTCATGGAGTTCTTTCCGCTGAACCTGACAGGCTGTGACTTTTCAATTATACCCTCATACAGTCTTCCTATGTACAATGACAGTAAAACAGCTTTAGAAACATGCCTTCTTTACCATGTGAATTTGCTCAAGAAAGAAATCAGAGAAGATATTTACAGTGGAACCTCGGTTTACGAACTTAATTCGTTCCGTGACTCTGGTCGCACCCCG